AGGCAAAAAAACATTTCCAATCTAATTTTCCGACACTGGTTTGATTCATTCGGAAAAATAGCAGAACTGAAAATTCGCAAGGGCAATTAAAATATGAATGAACCGTATGAGCTCACTGTAGCTCAATTTGCAGCGAGCACCGCTAAAAGTGGCGCCATTACATCACACGCGGAAGCGCGCGCGCATTGTCCAATGCTCAGTGCGATCCCGCGGGGACAGGGCTGCCGCAAGTTCTGGAGTCCGGAGTTTAATAAGCATTTCAAAGGAGAAGAAAGCTCGTTCTGTTATAAATTATCTAAGACTGCGTTTATAAATATCTCGTTAGACAATTTCTGGCGCCCTAACTCCTACGAGTAGATAGGTACGTAAAAAACTTTAATAAAGAATCATGGACATTATTCTTTTTAAATACATATTATAACGCAAAGCTAAATTCAAGTAGTTCAGCACAGAGTTATTGTCATTTTAATTTCTTTTAAAAATATATTTCCTTTGGATAAAATCTAAAATGCTGTTTGTTATATTGAAAAAAATGTTTGAAAATAAAAATCAAAATGAAAATTATTTATTTGCAGAATGTGGATTTACATTTTAGACATTAGGTTTTCTTTAAATTCTCCATTAGAATACTAAAATTACTTTTAAGTAAAAAAATACTAAGTTTTAAATTATTTCAGATTCTTAACGATTAACATCTTTCTTCTCATTTATATGAAACTATAAACATTCCTCCAGTCTCCAAACATGTCAGCCCTACGCGTTCCCGCCCCCGCGCGCTATTCCCGCCGCACGCGCCGCGCTCAATGCCACGAGGCCAACAACATCGTTCAATGAAATCAAATTACTCTTTACCTCATTGCTATTACATCACTTACAATAGGTAGACGCTCTTTGTGGTCCATTTTAAATTTTGGGTTTTGCAAAACAGAGTCCTAGCTAGTTTTATAAATTACTTTCTTATCGGAAAGTTGCGTAAAATGCGTCGTAGGTATAACGTTATTATTTGCCAAATGCAAATTCCAGTGGGCAAGTACCTATAACCAATACTTATTTTTATCAATAAACTTAGAATGCTAATTGAAATATACATAGTTAATTATTTCTAGAAAGAATTTATCTTTGTTTCTGCGTCGCATCTAACACAGTCGAATTTTTTTCAAGTAAAATTGAATACAGTTAAAGAAAGGTTTGAAGTAAAAAAAAAAAAACCGGCCAAGTGCGAGTCGGGCTCGCGCACAAAGGGTTCCGTAGCAGCAAATATAATAAACTTATTATGTCAATTTAATCAACCTATCTCAAAAACTATAAGAGATACTTTGATCAAACCAAAAATCGTTGAAAGAGTTAATTAGCATGCATCACCTCTATTTTTTTTAGAATTTTATACCCCGTAGTTATAAAAATAGAGGGGGGGGGACATACTTTTTACGACTTTGAGAGCTGATATCTCAAAAACCGTTCACTTTAAGAAAAATGTTTTTTAGAAAACTTTATATCATTTTAAAAGACCTTTCCATTGATACCCCACACGGGTATGTACATCGAAAAAAAATTTTCATCCCTCAGTTACATGTATGGGGGGCCCCACCCCCAATTCTTTTTTTTACTATTTAGTGTCATAATTTTGTAGCGGTTCATACAACACATATTCCCATCAAATTTCATCACTGTAGTACTTATAGTTTCCGAGTAAATCGGCTGTGACAGACGGACAGACGGACAGACGGACAGACGGACAGACGGACAGACGGACAGACGGACATGACGAAACTATAAGGGTTCCGTTTTTGCCATTTTGGCTACGGAACCCTAAAAATAAAACGGAATTTTAAATATGTATGTTTATTTGGTCCCACTTATAATTATAACGTAATGATATAAACTTACATCACTTAAATATAACATATAAAATAATTAATTATCACATTTCTTATCAATAGATATGTAATTTTTAAATCTTTTTATACATTTTGAAATTATTTAGTTTGTGAAGTTGACTAACATGCAAATAATAGTGGCTTTGGTTTTTTTAATAGTAACAATAAATAATTTATTTAAAGATAAAGACATTTTACATGTACTAGTAATTACAAAAATTACATTATCTTTTTTATAGGATTTTATTTTTCATTCTTAAAAAGTAGTTAATATAAATAATTTTGCAGTTATAAATCTGGTTCTTTCAAATTGTTTACCTATCATTCAATCTTTCACTATTTCTTTTAATTTGCAGTCATTTATATAAACTTTATTAACTTACTTTTATCATCGCTTGCATCCATCCGCTTGCATAATCTATAATTACCTTGGACGAATAAACCACTGGACGCGTAACGAGTGACGTTTTCGTCTTTACCCCGCTAGCACTTACCAAGGCTAAATTAGCCATGGTAAATGTTGTCAGGTTGTCACTTTGTCAGTATGACGCCAGCTCTCGAAGAGTAAAAATATCACGAAAAATGGGTAAATGCGCCGTACTTTGTTGCAAAAATTATTCCTGTCACACAAGAAATGTTTCTTATCACGCGTAAGTACATTTTAAATCTATTATAGTAGCTATTTTTTCGTAAAATAAATAAAATTTGATATGTAAACAAAATATGATTACGTCATTTTAAAAAGTACTCATTGTACATGTAAATGCTTAAAACATGTAGCATATTTAATTTGGTTGGATTATAGGTTTCATTCATTCATTCACATCTTATTTTTTATGACGTAAAGGGCTTGAAAAATGTCGATAAGTTTATCGATATACCAAACAAACTGAAACTGAAATTATTCAAATTAATTTTAGATTTTGATAGATTTTTTTGTTTTGATAATTTTAGTCACATGAAACAAAAGATTATGAGATAGACATAGATGGAACATACAAAACAAGCACACCAGTAAATGTAAGTAATAATTACACCTTTTTTGAAATATGTTGTACATCAAAATACTGGTCAAATTTGAATAAAATATTTTTGATGTTGATTGATTTTTTGGCTTTATTTTAGTCACATGAAACAAAAGATGATGAGATCCACACAGATGGAACATACAATTTAAACTTTTCATTGCATCTAAATATTAATAATGTCATCACAAAAATACGCCAAATGACTACAATTATTATTTTTTATTTCATTAACAGGTTTTATTTTCGGTATGCAATACCGAGGTGGAACCTTTTAGATCTGTGTCATCCCCTCACGTTTAGTGAAATACCGGGGTGGTTGGAACTTGATTTGGTCCATCCTGTCATCAACTGTTTTTCAATGGGACGACTTCTGAACATCAGAGAGATCTTGACTGTCAAGATACGTGAATTAGGCCACTGAACTTTTCAAAACAAAACCAACACAGGTGAAATATCTGAGCATCTCCCTTGACAATAAATTGAACTGGGCAAGTCATATCGACAACATGCATAGTGCCTAGCAAACATAGCGGCCATGGGTTGTATGAGAACCACTCTATCGGCATCACTTGACTTCTTTCTGAATCTCAGACATTTAGACCTCATTATTCAGGAGGAAGCACAAGCACCCACTCTAAGACTTAAAGGAAACGATCTATGAAAGCAAAACAAGGAGACAGGATATTCCGCGATTCTGCACAAAACCCTAAAAGAAATACCCCTCATCAACAGTATAGGTACCCTGTGTACACATCTTCGACCAAAGATAATATCCAGCTTACAGCGGAAACGCGAAATTGCTCTGGAATCAATGAAGTTAGGATATACCGACGTCTTCAAAACTGAAATAAGTACTAGGAGGTCTTCTCGAATGACCTAAACATAAGAATATCAACAACATTAGATAAGAATTAAATATTCTCAGATAGTGCATCCGTACTGCAAGCGCTACAAAGCAATACATTGTCATAATGTTATCAAATTGTGTTTCATGAAATGTATAGAAATATGCTATTGATGAAACTTTTGTCCGTGACGTGAGACAGATTATAACATTTGTTGAGACCAAAAGCTAGTTAGCAGTCGATCGTAACAGAATATTACTTGTTTATTGCTTTACGAATTTGATAATGATAACACAGCCAAAAAATATTTCACCTAGTTACCTACCTATATGAATAATTTGTAATATTATTTGTACCTATGATTTACCAATGGCATTATAATAAACACGATACAATAATTAATTATAGTCTTTCAATTAAAGAAACTTTCAATATTAAATCAATCCATAATTCATTTATCTCGTTAGGTTCATTCATTCATTCATTCATTTACATAACTATCGATAAAAATTTACGATCTTTTCCCAGCACTAAATGTCATTATTTGACAATTGTCAAACCTCTCCCCCCGCAAAAAGTGGTTGATCGTGTTTACTTAGAAATCTTGTAGGTTTCGTGTCCAGTGGTTTATTCGTCCAAGATAATTACTCTTAAATAATATCTCACATACTTCAGTTCTCTTTCTTATACTAACTCCTATTTATTAATACAGTTTCATTTCAGTGATTCGGCCGTTTAAATATCTTGTTTTTTTATCATTCTAGATCTAAAATTTTATTCTGCGCTTAACATTACATACAATGTAATTATGTACGAAATATTCTCATTTTTGGAGATACTCGGATCCCACGAACTGAGTTGATGCTTCATTGCAAGAATTTCAAACGTGTATAAACTTTCTAACAAAAATGAAAATGTGACTTCAACCGCCATGTTTCATGTGGTTAGTGCCAATTAAACTAGTAATCATTTACTTCAGAATTAAACGCACACATGTCAAACTAATATGTGCAAAACCTATAGATAAAGTGAAAAAAAAACAGATCACTGATACTGTCTGTTTTGATGTTTGTATCGATCCTATCTTAATTTTATTTCAAAAGTTTAGAAGTCTATTGACGCGGAGGATGCGCTACTTAAACGCAGTCTATTTCAAAGGCCAATCACTTAGAATTTGCTCAGGACATTGTGTCATCAAACTTATCTAGGTCTATCAATCAATACATCAGCATCACTTGCCTCTCCCGTATTCAACTCTTCTCAATAGGCCCGTACCGCTGTCGGAACCATGTCATCCCCCTATAATCTGGTTCGTAGACGTCAGGAATTTCCTTATCAATGGCTTCACAGTAGACCATCTTCACGGAGGCTTCGCTGAACAACCGTTCTTCGTATTTGATCAGCTGTTTGAAGAATCCAGTGTTTGGCCGAATTTGTGGTCTGTTAACAAAATATGGGCAATTTTTAAGAACCATTTTACTACCAAGAGCAATTTCATTCCTTGTCTTAAGAGGCCTTACTTCCTGAAATTAGTTTCTACTAGAAAGAGTTGATAACACTTTTTACTACAAAAACAGTCATTACAAATATCTCTTCTAAACAAAAATAGTAACTAATAAAAAAGACAACGAGTGCTTGATTACACTTCTATTCGTATTATGTGTCTTTACTAATAAAAGTTAATCCAAATAAAACTAGTGAAAGGGGTTGAAATTTAGTAACCTAGATCGAGTTGTGACTGTCCTCAGTCATACAATCATAGCAGAACTACAAGTGTAACAAAACAGGTGTCAAATCACTTACCGCCTTTGTTTCATGTGGTGGTACGCGTCTCTCAGGGTCATGCGCTGCCACTTGACGAGATACGCCAGGCAGAGCGTGACTGATCGCGACACGCCTGCCACACAGTGCACTAGGACAATATCGCCTTTTGTCGCTACCTGTCAACAAGAGGCGTCATTAGAGCAACCTATAAAGACTTCAAGATCCTTCAATGACAGGATCATATAAACTAGACCACCTAAATTGAGTGGCATTCAAATGTTTGTGCAGGGAACGAAACTGAGTCCAGCATTATAAAGTAATGACTATCAGATGTGGATAGCCCATAGCCATTATAAATCCCACTCATCTTACACTTTCCACTTGCCAGATTCTATCCTGTAATGGCAGCTAGAGTTTATTCATGCACGAGAACTACTAGTGGGTCTAAAGTGGTGAAATTGTATGTGTCATTTCTGGTGCCTATGTTCATTCTGGTAATATGCAGGTTTTCTAACTCACCTCATTGATCAGGTCGGCCACGCGTTCCATGTAAGGGTGCATGTCAGAGTTGGGTGTGTCCAGCAGTGGCACAAAATGCCTGGGAACATAGTCTTCTGGAGGCGGGGGCAGTTCTGGAGCTGCACTGACTATCAGGCCAGGCCTTAGAGCCTTGACAGCGCCGGGAAGCGCGTGGGCTCCACATACGTACAGCTGGTTCGTGATGCGGGATACGCCGAGAGGACATCCCCTGTTAGAAAAAATCTTGGTAAATATTGATGGTAAGAGGCGACTAAGGGAATATGGTAACATCAAAACCATCTGGCCAGGGCGGGGAGTTTAGGGCAAATCTTCCATTTGCCTCTGATAAATTAGAGAGTTCTCCAGCAGAGGAAACTAAATGGTCATGATGATGATGATAAAATATTGATTCAGAACTTAGCAATGCGTCCCATTAATTAAGTACATATTTTGGTGCAAAATCATCATCTCATTACACAAATGAGAATATTTATGTTCTACCAATTCAAAAAATATTTTAAACTGGAATGTTTAAAAAAAACTGAAGAATTCACGCATTTCCGTCACTGCATACCCAACGTTACAAAGTTCCCGACAAACTGTTGCAGAATTTGGCAGAGAGTAAACTATACGTAACTGTTTAACATTATTATTAAAGAAAATGTTTAAAATATTATGACTTCTGAAAGGCAACTGTTGTGACATATTTTTGCAGACGACACTGCTGAAAGTATAGAAATTCCAACTGCCAAGGTCGGGCAAACTTCAACAAAACACGAACCACTTTTAAACGAGAATTAGACTTGATGGTCAATATCATTAAAATGTGAAAAAGTGTCAAAACCCTTGATTTACGTATTTATACACCATTGGTTTTCCAAGGAAATGTAAACAAAAGGTCAGCAAATCAAGCCGTTAGAGAAACTTTGGAGCATTTCGCTCGTAATATTACAGAATACTGATTTAGCAAGGTACTGACGTTCTTCTCCAGATAGGGGGCGTATCCATGACGATATCCCGTAAAAGAATGGGCGATCGTAGCAGAACGTCAACAATCCCGCGTCGCGTAAACACCGCATGCCACGCGGTTGTGTCACGCTGGCGCGCCGCCAACGCCGTCTGACCTAGCGAACTTGCGCGCGCGCGCTCTTATCGGCGACGTTACGGTTTTGGACTCATGTTTTTCAGATTGTAACTCATTGTTTGGACGTAACAATTAAGTTAATCGAGGACTTTTTTTTTTAAACATACCAGTTAAAAATCTTTGATTGCTTGATTAAAGTTGACTGATATCAAGTACACTGCTATTGCATGCTATTACGTAGTAAGCGAACAAGAAGCTACTGAAAATTTTAAAGCTGAGAATAAGTTACTGAATAATTATCTGAATTCTAAAGTTCTGACCAACAGACCAATTTATTCACTAAAAACAGCTTAAAATGTAATTCTATTACAAAGTAAGTGAACAAGAAGCTTCTGAAAATTTTAAGGCTTTAAGAATACTGAAGAATTATCTGAATTCAAAAGTTCAGATCAACCGACCAAATACTATGTGACCAACATTCATTGGCGAATACAATAGAGTTACTAACCAATCTATCTAAATTCTACCACTAGGCTAACCACTGAGAACGCTTAGTACTTATTATGATTTGTAAGTATTAACAGTCACTTGCAGAGTTGCAGCTCTACATAGCTGACAGTGGCGTAACTATAGGGTGGCAAGTCGGCAAAATGCCACGGGCCCCCAGCCCGAAGGGGCCCCCGGTCAGAGGAAATCTCAATTCCCAACATTTATTATTACACATACTACTTAAGTAAAAAAAAGTTTTGTCTTTAATTTATTTGTTACCTTCTTAGTTGCATACACAACTAAAAAAAATATACCTAGGTATTAAACTTTCAATGCATTGGTATTAAAAAATTTGTATGTACCTAGGCTTCACGTAGTGATTTATTAGTTAACTTTTACAAATAAAAGTGTATAAATAAATATTATAAAATAAAAAATACTATTGTTGTTGGTTCAGCTTCTTTATACAGTGTGAGTCACGTTAAAGTGTACATATGAAAATAGATGAAACTAGACCTATTTTTATCGAAAAAAAATTTGAGATTTTTTTAAATATTTTTTATAGAATTTTTTTTCTTCCAATTACTTATTGTAAAGAAAACGTAATAACTTTTGAACTATAGNTGCTGAAAGGGATAACGACGAGATCAACCACCGCTTCGCTATATGGTCAGTGCCTTTTGCTTCAACTCCAGGAGTATGTTCTTTCTCTAGTTTAGCAGGATCAAATGAAGGACTTCAGAGACGATGCCACGGTGGCTCACTCGGCGTTGCCTAACGACGCGCTCGCGCCGCTGCCCGCGCGCTCGCCTGCGCACAACAGCTACCCGTATAACGACGAGATTAATCACCGCTTCGCTATATGGTCAGTACCTTTTCTTTATCATAGGTCATGATTCCACTGCAGGACAACGCTCCTTCTCTAGTTTAGCAGAGTCAAATGAAGGAATCGCGCTGGGCGCACTCGGCGCCGCCTCTCGACTCGCTCGCGCCGCTGCCCACGCGATCTCCCGCGCACACCAGCTACCCGTATAGCGACGAAATCAACCACCGCTTCGCTATATGGTAGGACTTTAGACACCAGCGGGCGGCGCGCTGGGCGCACTCGCCTGCGCACACCAGCTTCCCCTATAACGACGAGATCAACCACCGCTTCGCTATATGGTCAGTACCTTTTTGTTTGAACTCCAGGAGTATGTTCCTTCTATAGTTTAGCAGGGTCAAATGAAGGATTTAGGATTTGGAGACGCCATTAGACGCGCTCGCGCGCGCACACCAGCTTCCCTTATAACGACGAGATTAATCACCGCTTCGCTATATGGTCAGTACCTTTTGTTTATCATAGGTCATGTTTCCACTGCAGGACAACGCTCCTTCTCTAGTTTAGCAGAATCAAATTAAGAACTTGCGTTGGGCGCACTCCGCGCCGCCCCTCGAAGCGCTCGCGCCGCTGCCCGCGCGATCGCCTGCTCACACCAGCTTCCCGTACAACGACGAGATTAATCACCGCTTTGCTATATGGTGAGCACCTTTTGTTTATCATAGGCTGTAGGAGCACGTTCCTTCTAGGCGAATAAAGGACTTCAGAAACACCCTTGACGCGCTTGCTCCGCTGCCTGCACCCTCGCCTGCACACACCAGCACGAGATTGTACGGGATACAACGGTGAGATCAACCACCGCTTCTATACAGGGTGTTTCTTGTAAGTCGAAGGCAGGTGATAGGTGAGGGCTAGACCTATCGATTTCACCCCCATGTATGTTCTACGATTTTTCGTAGTTTAGAAGTTATCGTTAATTTTGTGATTTTTTCAAATTTTATGACCTAGTAGGCTTTAAATTTTTTTATCTTTTTTTTGGGTTGACTTTTCTCAAATTTCTTTTTTTTGACAGATTCCCTATTAATTGCAAATGTTTGAAAAAAATAATCACCTTCCTATGTTTGATGCAAGATACAAAATTTTTGCTAGAAACATAAAAAAAATATGCTTGTAGCAGAACATTCTAAAATTTTCAACTTAAAAGTTTGAAAAAAAAAAAGAAATTCCATAGGTCCAAAATGATTTTAAAAACTGCGCAGTTTTCTGAACTTTCATAATAACACAAAAAAACATGTACTTAATAGGCCATTTTTTTCTGTAATCGCTCCACTAAAGTGGTGAGTCGGAGATTCCGTTACATGTTTTTGTCTTTCTTAGGACTAACTGATGTTTGCAATTCTCTATGTTTACGTTACGTAGAACACATTTAAAGACAATAACTGAACAGAACATTTTTTTATCCACAACGAGGAATCTCTTGCCCTTCATCTGACCTGATGGAAACTGATGGATGATCAGCGAGCTTCACTCGGAATCCTAAACCACAGAGGAATTGGCTGTCCTAAATAGGTGGCCTAACCACTAGACCACAGTGGTGGTTGTTACTTTACGATTAAATTCGATATACGTACATATTAGTGTGAGAGAAAGGGAAAGAGTTTGTGTGTGTGTGTGTGTGTGTGTGTGTGTCTCTACAATAACGCCCGAACCATTTTTAGCGTATCATGCATCGTTATCGAGATATCGATCGATAAAGTCAAAAATTTTGGACACAATTTTTGTTTTTTGTTTTTTTTTTCTTTGGGTCTTAATAAATATGAAAAATTGTGGAATTCAAACTTGTAGAGCATATTCAGACCTACAATTTCCTTCTTGGATTTTTTTATGTTGGACAAAAATTACGATCTCCAGCGCGCCGCAAAGTCGGTGAATCCACACTCAGCGTCGAGCGAGCTGCTCGCTCGGTTGTCGAATCGAATGGGAAATTGTTCAGGAAATTGATGGGATAAAAAATAAGTACATAGAGCAACAAATTAAGGCACGAACGATGGACTTTTTTTATGTCTTTTTTCGCTTGGATGGTCCAGGCTGAAGATCTTCTTCCTCCGTAAACTCTTCGAGCTGCTGTTGTTGTTCGGGTTCCGGTTCAGGTTCAGGTTCCTGTTCTTCCGAGACTGATTTTGTTCGACGAGCGACAAACGACGCGAGTCTTTCGTTCGCATAATTCTTGTAACACGCCCTATGCACACTCACAGATTCGACACTTTCTAGCATGCGTTGATGGTCCACATGTCCTCTTTTCTCACTCACCGTCAAGAGAGTTCGAACAGCTCTTTTTTAGCAACATAAATGTCGTCGATTAACGCTTTTTTACAAATAAAACAGTCTCCCATGGTCACAAAATTGTTGAAACACGTGTGCTCACTTCGAAAGGCTCGAGGCAACTAACCGAGAAAAGAAGAACACGTTTCAACACGTAGACCCTAACAAAAGGGTCCCTTTATACCTGACCCCTCCAACTCCAACGGACGCTCTATGCGGGCACGCCGTTATAACGAGTTTACAGCCAACTAGATATCGAAATTTTTGCCCAGAATATCGGAACCCTCGATTTACACTACGCACAGCAAAAACTCAACACGATACGATATACTAACTTGAGCGCGCTCGACGCTGAGTGTGGATTCACCGACTTTGCGGCGCGCTGGAGATCGTAATTTTTGTCCAACATAAAAAAATCCAAGAAGGAAATTGTAGGTCTGAATATGCTCTACAAGTTTGAATTCCACAATTTTTCATATTTATTAAGACCCAAAGAAAAAAAAAGAAAAAAACAAAAATTGTGTCCAAAATTTTTGACTTTATCGATCGATATCTCGATAACGATGCATGATACGCTAAAAATGGTTCGGGCGTTATTGTAGAGCACAAAGAAAGCTACAAAATGTGTCCTACAAAAATTTTCGAATCTCATCGGATAGCCGAGTTATTGCCGAAAAACAAATTTTAAGCGTTTTCCAAGATAGCGGCGAAAGCTCCTTAGAAAAGGAGAAAGCTTGGTCGACAAGCCTCCTGGAAAGCTTGGTCGACAATCTCAAGTTAAGCTTTTCTAGGTATCCCCTACAACATATTAAAAAATTAGAAGCGCAAATTCATTTTCTTTTATTTGCCTTTTTTTCGGACGAAATGACTGGACTAT